CAAATGGATAATTTTCCCTTTCCCAATTATTAATTTTTTTATTAGGCATTGAAAAAATGTTTCTATTAGGGACGTGGGTATATTGACTATTGTATTCATTATATATTTTGGGACAAAACAAAACCAACATGAAGCAAATTTTTAAAAATGAGATGGAAAAAATTGTGTACTACATATTTATATGTCTGCTTGGGGAAATAAAAAAAAAAGATTGGTTTTATTTAGTCAGTCTTAAAACCATAAATCAGGAAGAACATTACAGAAAAGCTGAGTTTTGACATGCTTAGTCTGAGCACCAGGAATCACACTTTTGTTTTAGGCAATGTAAAGAAAATAACTCTTTAATTTCTGAAGAAAAACACTTTGATGATTGTACTTTATCTCTGAGTTGCCAACTAACATGCTGCCAGCCATATCAATTGAGAGACTGCAAAACAATCAATAACATGACATGAAAGCAGGTTATATAAGTAGGAGTGCATAACTTTGAAACAATGTTTATTAGTAAGCAGTAAGAGAAGCACAGGAAAATATAAATTCTGTTTGAATTCAGAGGGGTTTATTTCTGATGTTAGTCAATACATAATAAGCGTAGGCCCTTTGTAGCAAGACGCTTTGATGCTGCACAGGTTTTGAGACTGTTTCTACAAATTAGAATTAAAAATCAGAAAAGCAAACTTCCTTACAATTAGGTAAAATATATTGTATATACTTGTCCTAAAAGAGTAACAAGTGTATTAGAATTCCATAACTATCATGCTATAATCAAAATAAATAAATTTGTTATATTATTACAGATTTTTTGCTCTGGTTTCTGGAAAGAGAAATTTATAGTATTCATTTACCCCGGCATGCATCCAGAGAAGTGATTTTCAACAAGACAAAGAATTCTGTCTTCTCCCTCGTGAGTGAATATGCTTTGCCCTCCCTAGGAAAAGAAAAAATTACATGTACACTGAAATTACGCACATAAGACCTTTTCAGGACCAAGACAACCATCTTTGCAGTTTTTCTGCAAACTTCAAAACCTGAAGAAAACAAATCCTTTGCAGAGTTATTAATGTTAAGCACAACTCAAAAGAAAATAAAGATATGGAGGACTGATTAAAAAAAAAACAAAACTGAATCAGCTAAAAAGAGCTTTTCAGTTTTATCAAGCATGGTTCTACCAAACTATGCATTCTGGACAATTAAAAAGTAGATAGCCCTGCTGTACAGTGGTGGTGATTGAGAGCAAGGATATTTTTGTTTGTATATTACCCATTTTATTCAATTGATCAAAGACATAAATATATTTACATTATCTATATTTTATACTTAATTTTTATATTTAATTTTCATAAATCACAATAGCACTGGGGTTAAGACATCAAACACATGTGAGCTGATTTAGGAATCTTGATTTTGGTTCTAGGGAGATAATTTATGCTGTCATACCTCAGTCCAGTAATACATTTAAGCACACCTTTGCTCTAAGCAGAGCTGCCTGGAGCACTTGCCCATTTGTTTGAGTCTGCAGCTTTTATTGCTCTTTGTTTTAAACAGTTTGCAGCTGCTCATCTCAAAGCATTGTGCTCTAATATGAACAAGAGGCTCTTCCAGGCTCTCTTAACCTCTTCTTGGATGCACACTGCCAACAAGAATAAAATTTTCACTGAAGATGATTGGAGAAAAACTTAACAATCACTGTAGGTTTTAAAATACTCAACAGTCACTTGGTTCACATGCAACAACATAGCTACTGGTAAAAATCCAATAAAAAGCTACTCAATAGAAATGCATAAAATTAAATCCAAAGACACCAACTAACTGTCTAATTCCCAAGGCACTCGCAACAAGTTTTTAAAAACTGCTGGTTAAAAATATAAAATGATGGATTTATGTCTTTTCTCCATTTTTCTCTCTCCCTGGTCACAGCCAACTGATGGCCACACAAGACATCCTGTGAGCTTGTCCTGACCAATTTCTCAGCTGAAGGTGGGGTGAAGTGGTGGAGATTCTCCCACATGCTTGGCAGCCAGCTTGGAGATTGCTGTTTGCAAGAGAAGGGAAAGTACCAGCTTTTGCAGATCTGTACTTGCAGGAGAAGACCTAGACCTGTGAGACAGCACCCTACCATCCGGCTCCTGGCTGGCACCCAGACACTGTGAGTAATCCTCCAGTGGGGAAGGCATTCCAGCTGAAGGGAGCCATCTCTCATTCCTCAAGCCCCCAGCAAAAACACCAAATGACCCTCTGTTTCTGTAGGCAGAATTAGGCACTCACCAGGTACATGGCACTCTCAAGATCTGTCCTTCAGAGGATTTTGTGGAGCACCAGTATCACATCTGCTTAGGTAGAGTGGGAGAACTTCCTCTCATGTGAAGGAGCTAGGATTGCAGATTTCCCGGCTACTCTCAGCTTTTTGGACCCTTAGGTGATTTCCAACCCGACCCGGATGTAAAAGGCATGTACTCATTCCTCCTTGGCACCAGGGTGACAGCACAGAAGTGTAGACAGCTATGTAGTACACAGAAGTATAGACAGTCCAAGAAGCTGGGAAACCCAGGTTTCTGGTGCTCACCAGCAATGTCACCTTGGTGTTTTGTGGGCTAGGATCAGGGCAGGCTCAGCGGTGGCCATGGTGTCCCCACACCACACATAGCCAAGCCCAGCACCCATAAGGGACATGGGGCAAACCTAAGGGCTCTGGGCTCCAAAGGTGAGCAAGCAGTTTGGCCGTGCCAGCGCTCATCCTTATGCCTGCAGCAAAACTCTTTTCCGACATATCCTTAATTCCACTGACAGTCCTCTGAATCACCATGTCTTTTTTCTGCTTCCCCCTCACTTGTACTCACATCTACCTTGCTTATGTATTTTAAAAGATGGAAAACATCTGCCTACAGATGTTCTGGGACACTCCTGCCTTTGCCATCTTCATTGGGCAAGGCACACAGTGCAGCAGGAATAAAAATATTATTTTTTTCCCTGATCTTTATGCTAAAAATGTCATACCAAAAAGCAGAAATAATTTCAAAATACCAGGAAAGCAATTAAAAGAAAAAAAAACAAACTTGACACTTAATAAATAATTTAACACCTCACCCTACCACAACTTGCAGTGTGTTTCAGTCACATTATAGATGTACACTCATCAGTTTTTGTGGTGCTTTGCATACATTTCATTAGTATGAACAGAGTAATATTAAAACACACACATAGACACAATTTTCTGGTTTTTCAGTTCATTATGAAATACTTACCTCTGGGCAGATGACTAATATGCTATTAAATTTCTCTATCCTTAAGTTGTGTCATAGCCAAAAAAAGGGTGCAGTCACTCATAATCTTTATTAAATGAGCTGAATACACCCACTCAGGGAAAATGCTGTTGTATGACTTTAATGTGTCCTGCAGCAGCATTAACATGCTTTTAGGTCATTCAGCTCCATGTTGTGGAGCTACAATAATAAATCCATGATGAAAACTGGGGGAAATTCCCTGCCTGTTCTGAGTAGTTTGGGAGGCATTACCCAGAAGATTTAAATTCCTGCTTAGCAGAAGGAAAACTTTGCCCCATGTTGTATTGTGAAACTATGGAGTTTATGTATCTGGGGATACAGTGAACTATTTGAGTGGGGCAATATAATTCTGAAGAAAGTTTTAGTTTCACCTGTTTTGTGAAACAGGTTCATTTAAAATTGTAATCTTCTTATAGATTAATCTTTAGCAGAATAGACATTAAACTTGAATTGTTTCTTATTGATTTTATTATTGATTCTGTCTAGAATCAATAGAACCTAGACATGAATTCCTGTTTTTTACTTTTAAACTGAGGGAGGAAAACATGCAACCACTATAAATCATAAATAGGAAATCCAAAAGGCTTATATAACATAAAAATATGTAACAAAACCTTTTGTGAATATAATTTAGGCCAGAACTTACCTATTTTCAAGGTTGACTAGAAAACACTTTACCAGCCATTAAAGTGTCTCTATAAATATTAGCTGGATTAAGCTATTAACTTCAACTGGAAAGGAGTTTTCTCTGGTAACTTGTGATGAAGAAATTTCCTTGTCACTATACCTTCTTTAGAAGTTATCCTTAGTCTACCCTTCTTAGAGCTAGTCCTATTGAATGTTGCATGAATTATTCAAAGGCATTTGAAGAACAATGCAAATCTATTTGCTCATACAGGAGATTTGGGATATGTTCTGGTAGTAGCTGGCAGTGACTATACTGGAAATTAATTCACCTTATGAACAAACCTGATTCAGTGTCTTGTTATGAATAAAGAATAATCTGTTTGCTCATATTTATGGATATATTTTTGCTTGACTAAGAAAATAATTTTTAAGTTAAAAAAAGGTATTCAGAAAGCTATTTTTAATCTGTCATTTTTTTCTTTCCAAGCTTGCATTTTTTGAAATTAATTTAGAGTATTTTACACTTTTTTTTGTAATTAAGAGGTTCATTGTTCTCTGATTGGGTCATATTCTAGAGATAATGTTGTAAATTCTAGGACTTCTATTAAATTCTATTTATTCTAGTAACTCCAGTAATATAACATGTCAACTCTAGTGATTCTAAGGAATATCTATTGCAGCAAAAGAACAATATGAAAGCTAAATTTTAACTCTTTTTAAGAAAGAAAAAGCAAAATTATTGTAATAACTTCATCAATAAGAACTCTTTCCTTTACCCCTACTTATTGGTACATTGGATTACAGTAAAAGTACTTGAATTGATGAAATAAAAGAACATGAATAGCATCAACAAAGGAACAAGTATCAGGATGATAATGAATCAAGGGTCTTGTTAAAAATTGCTCTTCAAGATGCGCATTTATGGTGAATGTCTTGATGACTCTTATCCTTAGCCTTATGGTGATATGTAATAAATCCTTTATTTTCTGTGCAGCAACATTTTTCGTCTCATTTCTTGGACATAATTTGTCTAAGGTTGATCTTTAAAGAACTTTTAAAGTGTCTAAATGTTTAATGAGGAAGATAAAGAAATATGACTGTGACTAGAATTCTACTGAGAAAAAGATTAGACTGCCAAAACTATTTTACTAATGAAAAGCAAAACCATCATCTTTGTCTCATTATGCTTGTCACAACAGTAAAAGTTCATACCACATAACTATTTTAGTTTATTCTTCTGTTTTTCTAGAAATTGCAACTTCATTCAAAACAGATGCAATCAAAAACAAAACAAAACAAAAAAAAATCAAAACAAAACAAAAAAAAACGCCCCCAAAAATCACCTCAAACACTATGTGAATCAAAACAAAGTGAATATTTCAAACCCTTTTTTGTGAAAATCACTTGGTCTTAAGGTTGTTAGTAAATGTAAGTAATTAAAAATTAGAGTCCTATGAGTAAGTGTTATTTCATAATGCCAGGCTAAAGACAAAGACAAGAGAGCAATTGTACAGTTGTAGAGTTCTCCTTAAAGTAGCAAACCAGCAACTCATAAACACATTAGGAAAAATATGAATAATTTAGATGTCAAGCTGACACATACTGGACTAGCTTTCCTACCTCTTAAAATTCAGAAGTCTGTACAGGTCTTATAGTATGATTCAGATCTCATAATTGAATGAAACAAACTTAATCAGAGGCATTCATTAAATAACAATTCTGTTAAAGAGATAATTAAAAATGACAAATTTAAGACCTACTTTCTTTTTCTCTATCATTCTATGAAAAGTTCTACAAAGGCGTAGTTTGCTAATTGAATCTTGTGATCCAAATCAATGTTTCAGGCACATAATTGCTTGGTGTTTTGCTCTTCTTGAAGAAATCATTGAAATTTCCATGAGAATTGAGGATGTACCTCCTTTTTATTACTTTTTCAAACTATCTTCTCATTTAAGAGGTTGATAATGTCTTTTTCTGTACTGTCTTAAAAAGGAATGGACTAAAAGCAGGAAAGAGAATTTGGAGTATATAGAGATTGGGTTTGCTTAAAATTGTCTATTTGAGAGATTCTTTCAGGCGTAAGCTGGTCTTTAGTTTAAGTACAACATAGTACTTAACTGCACTTTCATTTTTGTCCCTGTTCATGGAAGGACAAAAACACATATTCTACGTTGAGGGTGTATTTCTGCAATTTTGCACAACTACTTAAGTTTTGGTTTCCTCCCTTTTTCCTCCTTTCTTTTATGTACCAAATAATGTCTTAATAATTAGTGAAGACTCTGTTTAGGTGTTTTCACTGCTTCTTCCTGATGTAGATAATTTCTGCAACCATGTAAAGAATGAAATATTATTTTGTCTTGCATGCTGCTGTGAATGGAAGTGACTACTGTCTATCTTTGAGAAGCTTCATCATCAAAAGATTAGATGAAAACTTGATTTGTTAAAAAATACAGAATGTATTTAACATATTTTCATAGATGGATAGAGTTTTTTCTTCAAAACTGCAAATAAGGCTGACTGCAGTGCATCATTCTTAATGATAAGGGAAATTACAGACTAGAAGTCATCCATTCTGGTGAAAAATTCCACCATCCTATTTTTATAATATTTTTAAGGGGTATACTTAAAATTTCTGGTTTATTCAAGAAGGTTTTCTAGTTTAGTCAATAACAGATCTAGATTTCTTGCTTGAAGTGCATAAGTCTCCTCTGGTCAATTCACTGCTTTTCTGTTTGTCTGTTTTACTTTGGGTATTTTTCATGTTTCTAGCACTCTTGTCATTACAGAAATCTGACAGGTCTGATGTGACATGTCTTTATGACATCACTGGGATACTAATAAGAGGGGGGGAAAAATCAATTTGACTCTCATTTAACTAAAGTTGAATCATTATTACAGAATTTTTTTACTAATTGCCCAAAACAATTTTTCCAGCTGCTGGTTCCTACCATCCTGTTTCCCAGTTGGCAAATGGAAAAGCTAAGAACAAGTGGCACAGAGACTGCAGTTTCTGTACTTTACCAGAAACTTTCTCTTTGTTTTAGTACCTTGTATTAATACTTACTTTTTCTGATTTGTGATTGACTACTTGTATGCTCTATTATTTTGAGAAATTACTTAGGTAGCCACAGTTTGAGATTAGCACATCCTAAGAAATGTGACTAGCAATTCAGTTGTAGTTATTTAGCTTCAAGTTGCTAGCAGCTTGTTAACCATTTCCTAGCAGTGGGACTTCAATTCCATGTGAGGAGGGTTCTGTGGATTTTCCAGTTTTCAGAAAAGTTTTCCAGAGACAATACTACCATGGGCTGCAGATAGTAAAGGTGGACAGATATTGAACCTTGCAGCAGTTTGGGTGCCATGCTTATTTTCACATTCTGCCCTGTAACTCCGAGACGTTTGGCATCTACCCATCACAACTTTGCTCAGACAGTGTTATGGGGGCATAGTTAAAAATCACCATTTTCATACCTGTGTTTTTGTGTACTGTGGTTACTCTTCTCTGACTGCTCTAACATGTCTTGGTGGCATCAGTAACCCCCTGAAAGTTGGGAGTAATGGGATAACGATGCCTGGATATGCCTCTTCTCTGTGCCTACTCTCCTGGCAGTCTACACCGGTGGCTGTCAAGCTGAATTAAGCATACCCATAGACTAGAAACCCCTGAAACTGAAATATCTTCCAACTGGCATTCTGACTGCTTTACAGCTTTGCATTCTCTTTATGCTAGACGTAAAGACATAGACAAAAACTCACTGACTTCATATCTCAATGTCTCCATTACTTTTACAAGAGAGGTGACATGAAGACACAAAAACATATCACCATCATGGAAAATTCCCAGAACTTTGAGTCATGACAGAATGGTAAGTATACATGGTCTCTGCATGGGATAAGCCACTTAAGTATCCATTTGTAAAATTTTATCATCTAAAACTCTTTAAGCATAGTCCTATGCCCTGAAAAAAAATCTATCCCAACTATCTCTGAAATTTCTGGGGTTAATATGAGGGTGGCAAGATTTACAATATCAAACTATCTCCTGTTGTGTATGAACAGCGATAAACTCCTAAGTACAACTGGAGCACAACCTTTATTAGACATTACCTGACTAGGCTTGTTCTTCTATTGTAGCTCAAGATTAAAGCATTTGTTGCAACATTTTTTAAAGTAATCCTCTCTCTAGCTGACTCATAACAGCTGTTAAATAACTAGATATTTAGCTTAAGATGAACTGAACCTATAAATTTAAAAGTGATATAATAACCAACCCTTTATGCATAGCAAAATACTTCTGGCATTGTCTGAATGCTTCATGCTGATGTCACTATCTCCATTTGATTGAACTGATATAATACAACAGCTGACAAAAGATGATACCAATGGTGATTATGTATTTCTGATGCATTATGGAGGAGGAAAGGCACCACATAGGAGCGAGAGGCACCATGTGGTGGGAGATGGAAAAGCTGACAGAATGTTTTTGAAATGTCCAAAAGATTGTTCAGAGTTTGTTGCTAAATGTTTCATGGCAACACATGCAAAAAGTACACATGCTGTTTTTCCATATTTTCTTTACCCCCTTTGCCAGTTATTGGGTAGTCTCTCTTTCCTCTGACAGAGCTGTCCATAAAATCATAGCTTTGTTATTAATAAAATGGTAGTATATTCTCCTTTTGTTTTCCCTGCCCTCTTAGGGGGTTCTGATTTGTCAGAAACTTCTTAACAGTAATACTGCCTGGTGCTCCTGCAGAAGCTCATTCTTTCTTGACCATAGTGCCTTGGAAGTGTTGACTTTTCTGATGGGAGAGGCTGACACATAGATAAGTGAAGTGACTCATGTAGGGCAGATTCAGTCTTTTTATTCATAGCTGCCTCCTAACTTACATCACAAGGAAACCTCATACTTTTTTTTCCCCAATGAAGAGAGAATATGCATATAGAGGCTTTTATTAAAACAAAACTGTGTAAAAACTCAAACAGATGAAAAAAAAAAAAACTTTTCTTCCATCTTGTTGACAAAAGTAACTTGCTTCCTTTTCACATATTCTCTTGATTTAATTTGCACTGGTCCTAAGCTCTCCTGTAACCTTTGCAGTAATATTTGAAAAGAAATAATTTACTGTTGGAATTAAATTTAGCAGGTGAGAGGAGTTTTTTCTATGTGCACAGGTTTCATGAAGACTGAAGTAAAATTACAATTTTAAAGATCACAGGAACATTCCTGAAACCTTTTAAAAAGACACTCATCTTTAAGCCTGGACTTGAAGTTTAATGATTTGACTAATGTGTTGTCTCAGCGCAGACCTGAATTCATGAGATAATAATTAATACCCAGAAGTGAAAACACTCAGTTTTGTTCTTCCCACAGTAAACATGAGAGCACCAGCGTGGGCACCAGTGGCTTCAGCACCTGTAATTTCCTTCTCTTTTGAGCTACATTTGTATTGTTGGAAAGTCTAAGAGTTCTTAATTTCACTATACTCTGTGCAAACATGGAGTAAAATAACAGCTTTTTTGAGACCTGTGCACAATAAGGCAGTAACACAGATGTCATGACACTAATGTGAGCCAGCTGATAGTAAATCTCACGCATAATGTGTTGTTCTCCCTGGAGTGTAAGGGACAACCAGAGAGAAATCTAAAGATGTTCACCTGGAAATGAGGTGGAGGAAATTCTGGCACTGTGAACTACTCTGCATTATCAACCACCGTATTGATAAGAGAGAAGTAGAGACTGGTATGTGAAAAAACCTTGATAGTGACAAGAAGTCACTTATATTTGGTAAGAAAGACAGAGAAAGAAAGAAGGGGTATGGTATTACAAAGACTGAAGTCATCTAAGCTCAAATATTAGAATGTAGTATTTTGTAGCAGCAAAGCAGGAATGGAAAGGGCTGGTCTAAACTCCTGCTTGCAAGTCATAAATAATAATGTTGTGATGAATGTGTGGGATTTTAAGAGTTGAAGAAATCAAATGTATTGTTTGGAATAGCCACATCCCTGAGAAAGAGAAAACAGACAAAGGGATGAAAGAGATGATCAATATTACAGATTGAATGTCTGTGAAGCAGGTAAGCATAAAGGAAGGAAAGTAGGGAAAGTCTGCCAAAACAGAGGCTCAAAACCTCCCAAAGAGATGTGACTGACAGAGACAGGACAAGACTTTTTTTTTTTTTTTTTTTTTTTTTTTTTTTTTTTTTTGGCAAATAAAATTGGCCTAGAATAGTCTGTGGTTGCCTTGTTTCCTTATGTAGCCATATCTTTTTGTAACTTTGACGATTAAATAGAAATATCTCATATAACATTTAAAAAAATGTACAAACCTCTATCAGGTCAAGTGAATTTATATTCCTCTATCAGCTAATCAGACATAGTAAGTTTTTTATTCATTTGAAGAGTGTATTAAGTAAACCAATAAAAGAACCCAGTGTCAATTGATCAGTGATATTTTTGCCAGGGAAAAATTAACCTGAATGTTACTGGAAGCAAAACCACTTAACAAAAGACATGGTCAAAATGGTAGTGGGGATGGAGAATTACATTCTTTCTTCGTCACGGGAGGCCATGCCTGCACAGCAATGAATAGCCTCATAAGGGCATGACAATTCTCTGACCTCTCCTTCTACAGCCTCTCATTTTAGTTATGCAGGCACTGCTTCTGTATATATAGTCTGCTTTCCCTTGGGAAACTGAATAGAAACCATACTGTTTCAACTGTAACAATGGTGTTAGTTCCTTTCTTTTCCCATTCCTTAATAACCTGTTATGAAATCTGAGTCAATTCAGCAAAGTTCAGAGATGTGTTTCGTGCAGGCAGAAGAAGGAGGCTGACATTGAGGCTGCAGAGGGGGCACCAGCCATCACTCATAGTTGTGAACAACATGCTCAAGAGACCTCCTGGCCATGTACTGTCCTCTGCCCAAGCTGAGAGCAGTGCTTCCATCAGAGCTAGAGATTTCCTCTCCTGGAAGAGGATGTGATGTGATGGGAAGGGGCAAAGGGGTTGTAGCACGTTGCACCACATAAAACTGGCTTTTATTAGCTGTGTTCCTCACAGGGCAACTGCTCCACAGCTGCAGTTTTATAGCTCAGGGTGAGCATCTCCAGAGGCTCTGCTTCAGGGCTATGAACAGCTCAGTGTCCATCTGTGCGGTCTTCAGTTAGCTATAAGAAAAAATAAATAGCCACACAGTATCCAGCACTCCTGGAAGAGGAGGAATAGTTTTCTTACAGATTTAAGTATTTTCATCTTTCACCCTCTCCATTTGCACACCTTTATGTTCTGCCAAGTATTCCCTCTTAAACAGATACACATCTTTGTCCCAGACTTAATTCCCGCCATCAGCTTTGCTTTCTCTGCAAGCATCATGCTGTTGAAATCACTAGTGAAATGTACAAAAAATGTTTGTAGTCATACATGGATCAGTTTGGCTTACAAACACACGCTTGGAAAGTGGAAATTTTCAGCTCATTAGTGCCTCCCATTTTTGCTCTATGTAGAAGCTGTGCTCGTGTCATGGTTGCTTGTGTCTTTGGAAGATAGAGTATTTTTAGATTATTGGCACCAGAAACACAGGAGAGACTGGCTCAGAAGTCTAAGCTAAGCTCCATGATGATCACAACTTCTTTGGTTCAGAAAGTGGTGTTTGCTTCTTGCTCCTGCTCTCTCCTCCACCCTCCGGTTGAAGAATTCAGCTTTTTTACCCTGGACAAAAAGCCATGGGGAAACTGATACAACTTTTTTTTTTTTTTTTTTTTTTTTTTTTTTTTTTTAATTTAAACATAATTATTGATCAAATTGATCAAACACAGGTTTGAAAGCCCTGTGTCCAGTGTCCCTTCTCAAATCCACGCCCCCTTCACACTCACTAAACTGCATCTTGTACCTGTTTTTTAATAGACACAAACTGATACACAGCTGGTGATGAGAAAGGTAAACAAAGAGAGGCAGAAGCAATGTCAGCCCATGCATGAGCTTGTAGTAATTGTTCCTCAGACCAGAAAAACTAATACTTCTCTTTCTTCTTCAGGAAGGACTTTCTCTCAAGAGAGCCTGTAAACACTGGCAGGCAAAAAGGCAGGGAAGGAGTAAGTCACAAGCTGGAGAAGTCAGATGGTATCAGTAGAGATTTTAGTAGACAGTAAAACAGCACAGGGCTGCATGCCTGTAGCATGTGCAGTTTCCAGAAGGGTGTCTATCCCTTCCTCTCAGATAAGATAGTGTTAAGAAGGTCCAGTATTAGAGAACAAGAAAAGGAAAGCAATATACTTCAACTCCTGGCTCATGCCCCAGGCTATGCCACAGGCGAGGTATGCATTACTGGGGAACATGTGGTTTACAGGAAAAAATACCTGAAGGTGTGTGTTGTGGTCTAATATTGGCCAAACACCAGGCACTCATGAAAGCCATTCATTCACCCTTTTCTGCTACAGTTGTACAGAGGAGAGAGAACAAAAATAACAAAAGGCTCATGGGTTGCAATAAGTACTGTGAGAAAAACACTCTAAGGGCAAAAAAAAGGTTCAAATTTAAAGGTATTTATTCCACTTACTACATCTGATCTAGATGATAATCATAGATAGTGGTGATTTTAATTTATGATACGCAATTTTGTTAATGGTAATGTTATAAATGAAAATTAACCCAGCCGAATTAAAAAAAAAATTAAAATAAAAATTTTATTTCAGTGATCAAATTCTATCTGAGCCAGCCACAAAGAAAAGGACAGTACCAAGCCCAGGATTGGCACTGGGTGAGTCACAGGTTTGACTACTCCAGCAGAGAGTCTCCCTATGCCCCACACCACCCTCTTGGTACAAGCAGTTTTTAAAGGAAATATTCCGCCCGAGGCTGGGATTTCAGCAATCCATCTTTTCTTCCCATTCAAAGTCCCACATATTCATAAAGTCTCTTTTCTCTGTGTTGGGGTGGAACAATTCGGTGTCTGGTGGTGATGAATCTTCTTGATGGAGTTACTGGAACACGGCATTCAGATGTATTAGCCTGGAGGATTTCAGTGATCCCAATCTAGAGTCCTTGCCATTCCTGTATCACCTCCTGTATCACCATCTCCAGGTGAGCTGCATGTTGTCAGAGACTGGTTTTCGAATATGTGGGGGCAACTCCCAATGCCCTCCCATATTTGAAAACCATGTGTGCTTCCAACAATATCAAATATTACATATACCATATTATACTGGCGCGAATTACATTCATTACACATAACAGCTACAAAAATAAAGATCACATGAATTCAGATATAAATTGAACAAAACACTTGGCAAATGTGAAGTCATTTTATCTGATGTATGTTTTGTGAAGAGCGGTCTGTCTAATAGTTTGAACACTGAAGAGAGAAAATCAGTATCAACAACGTATGCTCTCTGACACAATGGAGACTACTTAACTGTTAATAGGACACCTTATGTATCCAGGAGAATTGCAAATGAACATTTTTTAGGTCAAGGCTTTTATAGGTAAAAATTGGTTCAGCAAAACTAAAATGAAAAATAAAAATTTTATTTAGTATCGAATTGTCTCTGAGGCAGACACAAGGAAAAGGACAGTGTCGAGCCCAGGGTCAGCACTGGGTGCATGGCAGGAAGGCCACCTCTCGGCAGAGGTTCCCCTGGACGCATAACACCACCCTCTTGGACCCAGCAGTTCTTATAGGAAATTTTCTGCCTGAGGCTAAGATTTCGGCAATCTGTCTCTTTTTTCCATTCCAAGTCCCACATATTCATAAAGTTTCTTTTCTCCAGGTCGAGGCTGAACAGTCTGAGCCAGGTGTGGACGATTTTCCCTGATGGAATTACAGGAACCGTGGCATTCAGATGTATCAGCCCGGAGGATTCCAGCGATCCCAATCTTGGGTCGTTACCGGAATGATCAATGCCTAGACGATCCTGTATCACCTCAAGAAACAACCCATCTCCGGGCAAGCCACATGTATGAAATTGTAGGTGAGGCTTTGTCCAAGAAACTGGTTTTAGGTTTTAGGTATAACAGATATGTGGGAGCAGCTCTCAGTGCTGGCGTGTGTGCTTTGCAATAACAAAATATTACACATATCAAATCATATTTCCCCACATCAAATACAACAGTATTACATTGGCGCAAATTATAATCAACATACATATCAAGGCTTTTACATATTTGTCGTGACATGAACTTTCACAAGCACTCAAAACTGTCAGGAGATTTTGTTCCCCTTTTTTTGTCATTGAAGTGGAGAGAGCATCCCCAAACGTTAACATGTCTCTTGTCTGTGAAAGGCAGAGAATGTGGGGTTTCTCATATTTTCAGCACCTTACAGTTCCATTATTATGATGAAGCCAAAATTTCATGCCAAGGGTCAGAGATTTGGTTCTGGAACAACTCAAACATTGGCCTTACACCATGAAACAGTCTGTGGTTAGCTTTCCTCATCTCTTCCCTCTGATCTGTGCCAGTACTAGAATAGAAAATTCATCCACATATCCTTGGGTTTTATTGTCTCTCAGACAACAGGAAACTCATTGAAGACCACTTTGTTCCCAGAAGAACTGTACATTTGTATAAAAAATTCTCAGCTTGCTATGCAGTGAACTGTGCTACAAGACCAACGTATTTGCCCCCACACTGCTATGCCAGAAAATAGCTGGGCTAAGAGTCATTTGGTCAAAGAACTGGAACTGTTGAAAGTTCTGCTTGACAAGGAGAAAATTGTCCATGTTATTGCAAATATTTATTGTCTTTGTTCATCAAGTCCTTCTTTATAGACTAGGGAAAAAAACACGCCAGTCCAGAGAAGAAGCATGACAGTATTTGCAATTCCTCCATCAGAACAGGTTTATTTAGTTACTTATAATTAGTTGCTAAATTTAGCATGCCACAAAACAGAACAATAGAGCCATCACTGGTAGTCACAGCACATCTTCTATTATCCTTTTTACTTCATAATTTTAAAATTTATTTTGTTTAATTTGTCTCATTTAGATCTCCATTTTAAGACCACCTGGAGCATTTTAGAGAGGCGGACCTTACTACAAACTGTTTGCCCATTCTAGCATGTTGAATGTCAGTGTATGTGCTGACACAATATTAAAGGTATAATTGACAGGTGCCTCTAGGGGTGGGTGGAGGGAGCACAGGCAGAAATTTTTACAGAACTCATGCACAGGTAGCAAGCTCTGGAGGTGAGGATGCATGAGCATGCAGAGGTATTGGCCAGAAAAGGAAAAAAGAGTTATTAAGATGCCAGGTCTATATAATGATGTTTAATAGCATGTGCAATGTGATAGTTTATGCAACTGTAATATATGAATATAATGCAAGCATGACAACAATGTTTACAGTTATGGTGTAGCACTGTTAAATTCCAAGATAACTAAGAGATTACTTTGATGATGGCAGTGGGTATCTACAACAGCCTTCACAGAATGCAGTCATGGAAGAATTAGCAGTACCCCGCTATGGTTATGTTTGCTGTACCCAAATCCCTGGATTTTTTTGGTGCTAAAAGGTCTGCAAGATCCTGCATTTGTGCCTGAGCATCCCTGTTGATGGCTTAAGGTCTCAGGACATTGCATGCAGCCAGGGTAATCTGCTAAAAGTGCACAGCCACCGTAGCGGCTGATGCTTACAACCTGGTGGAAACAATGCTGGCCCTCTTCTGCTGACCCCACCCTTATCATCCTTGGTTTTTCCATTTAACTACTTAGACAACATGACCTATGGCTCTCTGGCCTTCATTCACTCCATTTTCTGGACAGACACATCATTACTGAGTCACTTGCTGAGCTGATCCAAAAGTGACAAATCCTAACATCTTCCTATTACCATGTCTTCATTCTACAGCTCTTCCCCAGAGGAGACCATTGCCTGACACCACTCAAAAATCAGAGGTGATCTCTACTTTCTTTGCTCTACACAGCCTAATCATGCCATTTTTACACTTTTTGTCCTAAGTTCTACAAATCATGTTAAATGAGCAAAAGCATAAATTTCTTCATTACAAAATCAGTAGTTTAGTATTTGCCTTACAAATACATAGGTAAGGACAGTAGAATATAAAAAAAAAAAAAATTACTGTGATAAAGACAGAACAAAATAGAACAGCTTTGGAGAAACAAAGCATGTAATTTAAGCAAACAGAAGTCATGCAAAACACAACAGGGTGCCAGCTTAGTTTTGCAAGGCTGACAAAGCTGAAGTTATGCAAATCAACAATATTTCACTTACTCAAAATGAGAGTTGAGGAACAGCCACCTAAAAAGGATACTGGACATTGAAGACAATCCCCAAATAATCACATAAGGATTTCCAATAAGGGGTGCAACTATGTAAAACAAAGTAACACACATACATCAAGTAAGCAGGGATAGCCAACAAGTGTGTCATCGGTGTGTATGATAAAAACTCACAGTTTTGAGCATTTACCCAATGCTCAGGGCACTCAGTTAGAGGAAGGATTCTCTGAGTGACCAGCACACTGAAATAAAGAATGCTGCTTTCTAATACTCAAAGCAGTGTTAAAAAGTTTTTATCTGGCCAATTTCTGTATCAGTGTTAAGGCTTTATGGTTAGGCTGGGACAATGATACATTACTCTATTAGTTTTTCACCACAGACAATTCTAAACCTATTTCTTATGTTAACATAAGTGAAGTTACATTAAAGTTTTATTGTGTGTCAGTGGTACTCTCCCCTGCTGTGAACACAGACCCCTACAGACATTGTGTTTTCTCTTCCATATTATATAAAGATTTTTTTCTTTCTTTGATTCTTCCTGATTTCATTTGCAATTTACAAAGTATGTCACCTTATGAGCTATGTGACATAGCATGGACCATTTAAAGTGGGCCAAGTTTATTTTTTTTAACTAAGTATTGATAGTAAATCTGGTCCTATCTAAGTGGTTGCAGAGTTGGGGCTAGCAGGGCAAAACACCTACAGCAGAGTGCATAATTCATCAGGCTGGTTTTGCCAAGAGAGGAGATGGTTATTATTGAAGGTTCTGAGAAAGAGGACTCAGGATGCAGGACTCCATTCCTGTCATCCTTCAGGACACAACTGATTGAGTTCACGGGTGCTTTTCATCTCACCCAACCAGAAGCCAATGGGGCCAAGGGCACTTCAAGCCTGATTTTGCCTGCTTTTAGGTTGTGTTTTGTATGCGCTTAATGAAAGGAAAATATCTTCCATATAATCTTACTAGGAGACAATTCTTGAGCAATGATTTCCCTGTATATGACCTTTCAGCACTCACATATTAATTTTCTTGTTCTTCCAAGGCTTTGGGAATGATAACATTCCAACCTGTAATTAGTAATGATCCCTCTGTGAAGTTAATACAATTTCTAGAAGAGCAGCTGCATATCTACTGCCTAGTAAATTTTATGCCCTGTATTACATCTAATGCATTACATTATATAATACATTATATAACGCATTACATTGTATCATACAATATATTGTACTTAATACAATATATTGTACCATATATTGTATTGTACAATATATTGTACTTAATACAATACATTGTATCTTTTTCCAGGTGTGTGTTTGTAAAGACATTTGGAGTTTATCTTGATAGTATTTCTAACAAAATTGTAGATAAAGAACTGTAAATTTTCCCCAACCCCTTTTTTCCCATCCCATTTCTGCAGAAATCAAATGTTTCATTCAGGTAGAACATGTAATTTAGCTCTTCCAATGCCTCCCATCACCTCACATTCCCAGGGGACGCTACAGCTTGCATGATTGGCTCCTGCTACTGCCTAGCTGTCTTTTGAGTAATGTTATGTCTCCTAGTCCATATGACAAAAAACTCTTTTTTCCCTGGGAAGCTGACTCCAAAACATAAAATTAGTGAAGAAAGTAAGGTATCTTAACATACAGCAGAGTGAAAACTTAGGTCTATCCCAAAATATATTCTTGATTAGATTTCAAGTTACACTTATGCTTCAAACACTTGTTAGCTTAACAATTTGATGGAAGTAGCCATTTTTTCAGTATGAGAATTTTGAGCTTTTTTTTTTTCTGCTTTTCAGTTACAGAGTATTGTGGCTTTACTGTGTTTTAATTACACTTGTGTAGAAATATCTCCCTACAATGATAATTTCTTCTTGGGAATGCTGGTATTTGCATATTATTGAGTACATTCATTAATATATGTATATACCCAATTTTCAGAGAAGACATTAGCAGATCATTAATCATTTCCTACATTTAGTGCTAGTTTGGTGATTGAATTTATGCCAGCCTTACCAGAATGAGCTGTCACACAGCATTAGTCACTTCTTTAGCATTATGTTGGTGACAAAGGAAGTAGAACTTCTGGGAACTATCCAAAGGTCTGTTAGTGGTGGTGGCAACCTTACACATCTTTCAAATGCCTCCAGGGATGGTGACTCAACCACTTTCCCTGTTCTAGCCTGTTCAAGTGCCTGATCACCCCTAAGCAGAGAGATTTTTCCTAGTATCTGACCTAAACATCCCCTGGTAAAATTTGAGGGCATTTCCTCTCATCCTATCACTTGTTACTTGGGAGAAGAGACCAGCCCTCATCTCCCTACAGCCTCCTTTCATGTGGTTGTACAGAGAGATAAACTGTCTCCTGAGTCTCTTCTTCTCCAGGCTAAACAACTTCAGCTCCCTCAACTGTTTCTCAAAATCCTTGTGCTCTACTGACTATTAAATCTGAATTTACTAGGTTTTGGTTTTTTTTTAATTATATCCACTACTTTAACATTTACAAGACTCAATAACCTCAGTAACTAAGCTGTCAGTAAAGTGGATAAAGTCAGCATTATACCACTACCGATCCACTTTTGCCAGTTTGTAAATAGGTCTCCACCAAGAATTTCAACCCTTAGTCATTGAAGTCTTGCTAACAAATCTTGGTAGTAACAACCATATATCAGTGTAATGTAGGAAGACTTCCAGATCCTTCACTTTTTCTTGAGCTTTATGCATTAATATGGAGGCAGCATACATTAATTGAACATTTTGCTTGTAGTAGTCTTACCATTCAATTATGATGATATTCTTCCTTCACAGTTCTCAAGCTCCAACAATGAGAGGAAATATTTTCTCCCTGGAAAAGTCATTCCAGATTTGTATACAAAAACAATCAGAGTATTAACTGGTAATCATGAAGTGAATGTTTTAAGTATATTTATTGGGTTTGCTCTGTTTGGTTTTGATAGTGGCGGGGCTACAGAGGTATCTTCTGTGAGAAGCTGCTGGAAGTTTCTTCCATGTGCCAGGAAAATCCCTGGTGGCTCCAAAGATGGACATGCTGCTGGCCAAGGCTGGGCCAACTAGAAATTATGGTAATGCCTCTATGATAACACACTTAAGAAGAATTCAAAACGAAAAGGAGTTGCAGAGTTGGAATTTTGACTAGAGAAGAGCAGAGAGAGAACATGTGAGAAGAACAACTCTGCAGACACCAAGGTCAGTGGGGAAGGAGGGGCAGGAGCTGCTCCAGGCACTGGAGCTGCAATTCCCCTGCAGCCCGTGGTGCAGCCCATGGTGAAGCATCTGTGCCCCTGCAGCCCCTGGGGATTCGCAGGGATGCAGAGATCCACCTGCAGCCCATGGAGGTGCCCATGCTGGAGCAGATGGATGCCTGGAGGAAGCTGTGATCCAGTGGGAGACCTGATGGAGAGAGGGGCCCTGCCCCCAGGCTGGAGCAGTCTGTCCTTGGAGGACTGCATCCCATGGAAGAGTGACCCACGCCACAGCAGTCTGAGGGGGACTGGTGCCCCTGGAATGGACTCACATTACAGCAGTTCACAGGGAGCTGTTGCTCCTGAAATGGAGCCACATTGGAGAAGTTGATGGAAAACTGTCTCCTATGGGAGAGTTCCCACTGTGCAGCACAGGAACAACTCCTCTGAGCAGTGGGAGAACCAAATCAAAATATTTGAGTCAATTTTCTTTTATGGAACAGTTTCCCTTAAAAATGTTTTCCTTAAGAACTGTTTTTCTCCTCATACACAAAGTGAAATTACACATATTTATGAATAAAAATGGCTTACATTTTACAGTCTTTTATAAGGAAATACTAATTAATTAACCAAACAGCAACTACTCATTCTGTTTTGCATTATTATGATGTTGGCATGCAGCCAACAGCTAATTGGTGAGAGGGACAGAATATTTAAATATCAAATACATTTCTTCAGCCTAGTCAGAAAATTTGCTCTGCAATAAAATACATTTCCCAGGCTGAAATGATTGCCAGGGAAATTCATTGAAAAGTTTTCAGGAAGTAAGTATTTTATCTGGAATCAGTATGATCAAATACCTACACAATGTTAACATAGAATCATGAAGTCACAGAAACTATACAAATTAAAATTTATTCCAGTGCATAATTTCTTGGAAAAACCTTGCTGTACAAAAATATTTGCCACAGTACTGGAAACAGAGTAAGGCATTGTACATCAAATTGTAATCAGGAAATGTGGGGATTTTCCAATTTTCTTTGGAGTTTATTTTTGTTGTTATTGTTGTTTTTTTCCAGAAATCTCAAAATAAATTTGGAAGAATTCATGAGGTAAACGAAATATAAAATGAGATGAGCAAAACAGAAGACTAAAATAAATGAAAATGGGAAGGATGGTTTAATGGTGGCAATGTTTGATGGTCATCATAGCATGGTGATGCTATGTTGATGGTTGGACTTAATGATCTCAAAGGTCTTTTTGAATCCTAATGATTATATGATTCTGTATGATAGGAATATATGATCTGAGCTTTACAATGAAAGTGAAGGAAAAAAGTACAAGAAGTAATGAAATGTGCTAATAGAAAATAAAAGAGTAGAAGGGTAAATCTGTATTCCTACTGCCCAAGGATACATTTTTCCTCCTTTTACCTTGTGGGTTAAATCAATAAGAAAATGTTTTCAAGACCTTCCATTTTATTTTATGTTGTCCAGTCATTACATCCTGGAGAGATGAAAAATATTATCACTTTTCAGAAAGGGTACCAGTTGCTCCTTTGGCCAGAATATAAATAACTAAAAGAAACCTGAAGAATGCTTTTCAGTAATTTTATTTTCTTTAACAATAAAATGACAGCACTTTAACCTACTCCTTTGGAAGAAGATGTTGGAAAGAATTGTTTATTAACTGTATCTCCCTATTCTACCCAGGCACTTGTTTTCATAAATCTCAGAGGAACCAGTATCTTTGAGACTTCTGTCCCTTTTGGATTGGAATGGCATTGGACAGTAATGTAAAAAGTCAATAGGAGGAGGTGAGAAAGATGGGTGCAGATAAACAGAGAGGCTTAATGGTCAAATATGTCCAGTTGTCTCCAGGAAAATCCCCTAAAATAACTATGTGGAGCAATACTTAAAATTTTTCTATCCTCATATTCCTCCTTGCTCTGCTTTGTAGAGAAATGTAGAGGGCAAAGACTATTGAATAGCTACATTTGTCTGTAAGGATCATAAGACTCCTCTCTCTGTACAAAGTGCAAAGACCCTTTCACATTAATGAGCACATGCTCTGTTTCCATATGTCTTGTCATCTTCCTTTATGGTCCAGGATATCAGAGCACATATAATGCAAAGCATGAACTCTGAACTCATAGCAATACTTTTCTTCCTTTTCAATTTCTTAATGGCTTAGAGAGATAATTAAACAGAAGTTTCCCCTAACAATAGTATCAGCTGAAAAATAAATCAGATAATTAGCTCAAAGTAGCTCATCATATTTGCTGTGTATTCTAGTTTGTTGCTTGTTTTTCTTCCCTTCTGTAGCCAATACCTTTGGTCTCATATAAGAAGTTATTATTATTAGGCTAACATCACTCAAAGGTCTGACTCAGCTATTAATAATACTAAAGATAAAGGAGCACTTACTGCTGGCTTTCAGATGGGTTTTAAGTTATTCTGCTCCCACTGAGTCAGGAGCTCTTTGCCAAGAGCTTTTGAAATCTTCCACTTCTGACATTTGAACTTGTGCCTTTTTCACAATAGTAAGCAGCACATTCAGACCCTCAGTATGTACACCCACACACCATGTCCTGCCTGCTCACACATCAATTTACATTTACTTTGTTATTCTGCCAACCTTTCTTAATTCTACCAGTCATTCTTCCCTTCTGCAATTCAAATGAGTCATGGAATCCTTAGACCTGTTGTAGCATAAGAAGTTTTCCTACATTCATGTTGAAAATGGTTTCCTCAGAGCCTCATTACAAGCAGCGACTTTAAGTACTTTCCAGCTGAAGTACCCTAGCTCCATATAATGCATCCCCAAACAATACTTTTGTGTTTTAGCTCTTCCCTTAATTGATAAAATGTGGCATATCCTGCTTCAGGACTGGGAGAAATGCTCTTCAACTTCGTGGTCTCTTAGACTGTAAAACTCTGTATTTGGTCTGGCTGAGATAGAGTTCATTTTGCCACAGCAGTCCTCACGGTGCTGTGCTTTGCATTAGTAGCTGGAAAAGTGTTGATAACGCAGCAGTGCCTTGGCTGCTGCTCTGCTGCTGAGCAGTACTGGCACAGCACCAGCATCTCTTCACCATTATGCTCATGTGAAAAATGTATATTAGATGGCTCTACGCAAATAGTTACTATATGTATTATGTTATATTGATTAGTTGTGCTTTTGTAGTTAAAATGAAGTTTTAGTAGTCAAAATAGAGACTATGTATGTGGGGGAAGTATTTTTTTAGGAATGAAATAATCACTTCGAGGAACACCTAAATCTTCCAGAGGGGAGGAATTAATTGCTTTCTTATCAGAAGAAGCTTATTTCTTCAGGCCTTGCTCAGACTCAAAGACGCCATGGGGATTAATGGAAATAGTTGACATACAACAGACAGAGTTTCTTATTTTAAACAGAATGTATGCATAACATGAAGGATATATGAATATGCAACAAGTGTATTGTTTTAAAGGTGATTCCTTTGTTCACAAGGTACGCTTTTCATGACTTAGTGTCCGAGAGCATCCGGATGTCCGTAATTCTTTGCTTTTTATTGTCTTGTAATTGTCATAACTCTAAATTTTATTACTCTAATTGTATTACTATTTTTATAATCATTTTACTATTATTCAACTTTTAAAATTTTTAAAATCCAAGTGATTGGTATTTTTCACCGCTGGGATGAGCAAGATCTTGGGAGGGGACAGAGCCAGGATGGTTGACCCAAACTAGCCAAAAGAATATTTAATATCCTATTGTGTCTGGTCAGGAATACAGCAATACAAGCTAAGGGAAAGGAGGAGAAAATTGCGGGGGGGGGGGGGGTGGTTTGGAGGGATGGGGTGGGGGTGGGGAAGACGATATTTTTTGTTATTATGTTTGTCTTCCAGAGCAATTTCACATAGAGAAGCTTACTTCCCAGGAGGTAGCTGGACATTACCCACTGATGGGAAGTAAAGAATAAACCTATTATTTTCCTCTGCTTCCACATGCAGCCATTGTTTTTTTTTTTTATTAAACTGCCTTATTCTTGACCCATGTGATTTTTCCATCTTACTTTCTCCCTCCTCCAATCCTCCAGAGGAAGGAAGTAACAAAGTGGCTTCATAAGCACCTAGCATTCAGCCAGGGTCAACCCACTGCAAACTCTTAAATTTTGCACAAATTCTAATCACAGGTCTGTGAGCATATCTAAAGGGTTCTGCAATATGTTTCTGCATTGTTTTCTTCTAGACCTCTGCTTTTTCCTCATGACAGGACTAAACACACAAATCTTATTTACAGCTGCTGAGCTGTACACAGGTAGCAGCTCTTCAGTTTGCTAAAGCTTGTTAAACTCAAATGGTCATTCATTACAGTAACAAGACACATCAATCATTACAGCATAACTGCCTGTTTCTACACCTAAAGATTTCTATTAATTGCTTAGAAAAGCAAGTTGATCTTGTTAAATAAATCTACTCCTATTAAATGAGAAAATAGGAAAAAGAAGACATTTTTAGAAGCATGGTGGTGATTTCACAGGGCTCAGAAACCTGTTAAACAAATTATCATGGGGCTTTTTAGGCTCCTGTTTCATTCAAGCAGATCAGCTCTGGAGATAATCAGTCTTCTGCTGCTTCCTTTCGGCTTTCCAGAGTTGTTTTAGAATTCTCTGAAGTACTGGAAATTTAAATCTGTCTTATGCATTGTCCCAGGGACAGTTAGGGAAGGTTTGGCAAAGCTCTCTTAAGAAGGGACGGATGTAGATGGTTGAGCTGACTGGGATGGGGGGGGGTAGGGGGGGACAGGGAGTGTAATGAGTGCACAGCAACATCAGGGTGTATCCTTAATTTAAAATTATTTCAAAACTAGGATCTGGATGACTACTACTTGTCATTACTTAAGGAAGCTTGGAGTCTGTA